TAAGATGGCAAACAACACATGAAAATTTATTTGTAAATTGTAACAACCTAAAAATTACCAATTAATATTATACATAGACAAAGCGAAAAATGAAATGATTTAAAAAATATTTTGTTCAAAATGGGCGCCTCCGGACTGTAGACAAGCACGACATCTTCTAATTATAGAGGTAATGGCCGATCGACACTGAATTGGAGTTAATTCTCGACACGCTTGGACTATTTGCTGACTTAGATCTTCTAGGGTATCGACTGGCACCTCGAAGACTTTTTGTTTAACAGCAGCCGAAACGAAATAATCCATCGGTGTCAAGTCCAGTGAACATGCGGGCCACGCTGCAGGTCCAATCCATTTCCTGGGATAATTAATGTTTAACCACTCCCTGGACCTCTATCAAAATGGACAGGACAACCATCTAGTTGAAACCAACTGTTCATTCGAGTATTAAGCGGAACATCTTCTAACAGATCTTCAAAACCATTTTCAAGGAACTCGGTAAACATGTCAGCATTTAACCGATGCGGAAGGAAGTAGGGACCAACTAATAGTGTTGTCCAACACACCCAACCATACGTTACATTGGAATTCATGTTGAAAACTGTTCCCTTACCGCCCGTGGATTGTAGGACCAAATATGGTTGTTCCTTTGGTTTAAAATTCCCTTTCGAGAAAATGTTGCCTCATCTTTCTGTCCACATTACTTTTTGCGTAAACTGTAACTGCTTAGTGTAACATCCAGTCACAAAACACGCACCTGCATCTTATGTCCTGAGGCAATAAGTGTTGCACACGCTGGATATGGAACTTGACGAAATACCTAGCTCACAGCTAGATCTTCTGACACTCGTGGATGGATTTTCTTCGAAATGGTTTAAAATAGTATTCGATCTTACTTCGTCCTGAAGTGGGGCAAAATGTCCATCAGCATAAGTTGGAATACCGAAAGACCCAGTTTGTCTGAGACGACTGAATGTCGTTGAAAATGTTTCCTTATTTTTGTTATTAGTTTGAACGCTTTGTCTAATGGATAATTTGTGCAATAATTCGCAAAATAACATTTAAAACGTCAAATTAACATTGCTTGACAGCAGCCTACTCAAAAATTTTTGTTGAGGTTTATTTTAAAGTTTATCGACAGAATTCAGAAGCACCCTTCCGAAAAATCAATTTTGCCATGAAACTATAAGAGTTAGGAAAAAAGTGAATGTACACATTCTATCAATGACAAACTGCATCATTTTTTATTTTCAGTAGGGCCGTATTAATTTTTTTTTTATAATTTAATGAGTCTGAGTCCCCATAACTCCACCACTGCCCACACAGCACAATGACATTCGTAGGATGTACTGAGGATAACTTCTCAGGATGTATAGGATATCCTCGGATAGGTACACAATCACCTCAGGATGTACCAGGGATATCCAAATGGAACGTCCCGGGATTTGCTCGTAACGTCTTGAGGACATCCGCCTGGCTATCTGCAGGAGATTATCAGGTTATCAGTGATCAAATGAGGACGTCCTAGGATTTACTGTGTATGTCCTCAAGACATCAGCCGGGCTATTATCAGGTTATCAGTGGATCAAATGAGGACAACNCTCATTTGCAACGTTTCATTTACGTTTCGTGTTTAGTGGGTAATTAAAAATGCTTGCTGTCATATTTTGATAGGCAACCCGGCAGAAACATATTTCTCTATTCATAACTTTGTTAGTTTTTGAAATATTTTGAAAAAAGACGATTTTTTAAAAAATTTAAAAATTTTATTCAAAAATAAATGAAATATTTTTTTTTAATTTAGGCTTCTAAAATCGTTCAAATTCCCAGAATCTACGGTTAATACATAAATAAAGTAAATTGCAAAAGGAATACGTTTAATTTTTTTTCCCGTCAAGTCATTAATTTTAATACCGATTTTTTTTTCCCAAAAGCAAGACAATCATTTTATCTTCATTGTAACTTCATTAGTTTTCATGCTAACGACTTTTACCACCACTCAATTTAAAGGTATTTTCAAGAACTTTAATAGGTGTTAAATAAGTTTTCCTCGAAAAACGTTTAATTTTTCCGCTACAGGACATTGAACGTTTCGATTATAATTATCTTCGAAATTGAATTTAACTTCTGGGAGTCATAACTCGGGTTCTATACCACCTACAAAAATAAAAAAACAATCTCTGCTATTTAATTACCTTCAATTTTGCTTATGATCATTTTTTTGATAAAACTTGTAATTTTCCAGATATTCGCGAAAAATTGCTCAAAAACATAAATTTTTTGGGCTAAAAACAAACATGTTTAGGCGCAAATAACTCAAAGTATTGTGTACAAAACTTTACAAAAAATTCTTATAAAACATTTTTTGCTTAGAATTCGTTCCTTTATCAAATCGAGAGGTCGTTATTAATAAAAAAATTCCCACCCTCCAGAAGGGTAGGCATCCACCCCTAGAGTAAAAAGCACACATCGGCACTATATAACTTTTGTTTCTTGGGCTATTCCCTAGCTACAGTTCAATAAATTTCACGTCAATCCATTCCATTCGAAAAAATTATTAGCCCAAATGTTTAATAATAATAATAGTCCGGGCAAATTAAGTTTTTTTCAAAAATTGGGCCTACCTCGAAGTTTATGGGCTTAAAATTAAGTAAAAAATACACAGACTCTACAAATACATAACCTAAATTTGTGTATTTGTAGAGTCTATAACAAAAGAAAAAATAATAATTGCTCTTTTTCCATTTTTTCGCTTTTATCTCCGAAAATAAGCCTTTAATCGATATGAGGTATACTTATCAATTTTGTTCCTGAGGAAATTTGCTATAAGGACAGGCTTTTGCGAAAGCTCGCAAATTTTTTTTTACATTGTAAAATTAGCGGTGGAAAAAAAATTTGCAAAATTTTTAGCATTAAATAAAAAGAACGAATTCGACTGAAATTTGATGAAACTACAGGAAAAGATAACTGTTGGGGTGCTCAACAAATACCTGCAATCCGGACCCCCCAAAACAAATGGCGGCATATTGCAAAATTATATAGTCAAAAACGCGAGCGCGTATATCTTCTGCCCAAGTCAAGATATCGAAATTCGGCAAGAAAGGATCTAAAGTTAGTTACATTATCTCGCGTCTGTGTAAATTTCAGATTTTTAAGTTGCAAAATAAAAAAGTTATTAACAAAAAACCAAAAAAAAAACGGTAACTAGGGTCCAATTTAAGTCAAAATCGTTATTTTTATTTAATGCTGAAATTTTTTTTTCACCGCTAATTTTGCAATGTAAAAAAAATTTTGCGAACTTTCGCAAAAGCCTATCCGTGCAGCAAATTTCCTCAGGAACAAAATCGTTAAAAGTATATACCTCATGTCGATTAGAGGCTTAAGTATTTTCGGAGATATAAGCGAAAAACTGAAAAAAGAGGATTTTTTTTTCTTTTGCTATAAACAACATGACGCTCGACCTCTACAAATACACAAATTTAGGCTTTTATTATTCTGTATATTTTTTACTTAATTTTAAGCCCATAGAATTCGATGTAGGCCCGATTTTTGAAACAGGCATAATATGTTTGGTCTAATTCGCACGGATTATAATCTTCACGAAGTTATAAAAGTATTTAAAGAAAAAGATATTGACAAAGAAAGTGTAACTGAAGCTTCTCAGACTTTAATGCTATAATAAAAAGGAATTTATACTTCTGAACGGCCCAATGCTTCATAAAATCAGCATACAAGAATAAATTTAACATCGCTTCATTGCCTCCTACAGAAGCAGCAGCAAGACAACAATTGTTTCGAACATATCATCAGGTACAGCATTGGATTGATAACGAAAAACCTGCAGATCAATGCACCTGCTCCAGAATTTCTTGAATTAATTTATTGTAAATGCAAGAAAGGATGTCAGGGAGCATGTGGATGTAGGAAAGCAAGGCTCAACTGTTTTATAATTTGCTTAAACTGTGACAGTAGATGTGACAACATGCCTCAAGCATTACAAGATAGTAATGACGATGAAGACACTTATACGATCTTGGAACCACTGTGTAATGAAATTGATACAAAAAGTAGAGAAGTTACTGAGGCAGAAGAATTGATCCCACACGACTCTGACACTTCGTTGCCTTCAACTATCAAAAACATTGATAAGGCTGGTCTGTCACAGGTATCAAAGCGAAAGAAGTTATTGTAATTTCATTTTCATTAGGCCTACTGGGCAAGCGAAAAAAAAGCGCCACAAACTCTACCTCATGGTGGTGTGGAAATGGGTATTACTTTTCACTGCACGTTAAGTCGTGACATTTGTTGGTCTCCTATCCAAAACGGGTCGGTTTCATGAGAAAAATTGTTAGAACCAATTTTGTAGCAAATTTCCTTTAATTCTTTAATTTGTTACATAACTATTTTTGCTGTAAAAGCAATGAGTAACGAGATGTCTTAAAAAATCTGTTTTTATCAATTTATTACAATATGGCGACGCCGGCGACAAAGATACGAGGTGACAAATGAAAAATTTGAAATGGGAAGCTCAAAATACGTAAAATTGCTGAATATCAAAACTTCCGCAAAATTTTACAGCAAAAGGTAATTTACAGTATGTATTTTTTACTCTAAATGCGAATATAGTAACGTTATCTACGTGAGATTGAGAATCTGGCGGCTGTTTTCTTCAGAATTATACAAAAATATTATTTTGGGAAAGTATACGAGTTTTTTTTTCTCGCTCCATTGACGAACTTGTTCTAAACATTTGAAAATAAATTCTCAACAAATTCGAGCTTTCAATTTTAAGAATTTTCCTATTCATTTAGCACATAAACCTACCTACGTTTTTTATTTAATTATCTATGTCGCATGTCGGTTGCATTTCGCATATAGTCAACACAACTAACTGTCTAACCTGTAATATCGTCACCTGGAACTTCGCTTCCTCGCCGGTAGATGTCGATGACAGTGCTTCGGCTTTGTGAAGCCTCTGGGCTGAAGATTGGTACTCGCCCAAATTCAAAGGCTGTGTTCGTGTTAGATCTTATATTGATTTTTTCGTAAAACTACTTAAAATTCGCCTAATGCCGTTTAATTTTCAACAATCCGCCGGCAACCAATAAAATTAGTGTGTGGTTGAATTCCCATACGTGTTTCGGTGTGCAGTTGTGTTAATTTTCTGGAAATAACAGTGCCGGTTGGCGATATTAGGTAAGGAGACACGCTTGTGGGCTGAGGTGGGGATTTTTGATTATTTTTGTGTTTAATCGCTAAATAGAGTACCGCTTTGCTTTCGTTTGTTCAGCGTGCGATTAGAGAGGCGGCCGCTTTGGCGTAATTCAATATTTCTTTGCATAGGCCGTCCTAACCTCGAAATGGCTGCAGGGCCCAGAGAAGGCCCTAAGGCCGTTCCGTATCGCCTTCTCGTCAGTATCCCTCGTCCGGAGATGGAATCGCACGAAATACAAATCCCAGTAAATCGGTCTCCGCGTGCCATGTAATTATTTTATAAAAAGTGATGATCTAATGTGTAGCAGCTAATGAATGATTGTAAATGTAGAATTTTTGACACGAAAAAAGTTGCGGGGCCCAGTGAGAGAAACGTTTGACCTTTTACTCGGCTTTAATTACCATAAAATGAAGCAAGAATGTCGGTAGGTTTCAAACCTGAAACGGAAAGGAAATCTCGGTAACGTCGGTGCATTTTGAGTAAAACGTGTTAAGGAGGAAGTCTATTAATAACCAATCTCTCTGTTAAACTGATAAACACACCTACATCCAATTTTGTATTCGAGTTTCTTACAGTACGGACTAATCTCTCGTCTAGCTGACAGATTTTCAAGGGAAAAAAAATTCTAAGAACTATGATAAACGCCGTTGTTAAATTTAAGTAACACGATCAAAGCGTGAGTGGATGACTCAGAGGAGGGCTGCTGAACTGTTTACTTTCCGCCACTTTCCAGTTTTTTATATTCATTTGTTTCTGGTGGAAACAATGAATGGGAAACGTCAAATGCCACCGCCAACTCTCGAAAAAGGGAAACTAGGTTAATGGATAAATCCAACGTTTTTTGTAAATTATTTAGGTTCTTTACAACAGCCTCTTCGATTCATTGAAAATGTAATCGACTTAAAAAAAGGTAAAAAATGCGTAATTATAATCAGTAGAACATGTAGGTATATGACAATCAATCAATATACATATGAACTAAAAACTTTAGTAGTAGTATTTAAGAATACGATTTTACCATATTTATTTTTTCCAAGGTTATCACGATTTTCATTGAGTCTTGGAATCTCAAGATAATCAAAGTTAGGAGAAAATGACCAACAGACAACGTAATCGTTATATCATATACAATCATATTTGTTATATAAAACTCATTAATTTAATTTGGTACTGTTTTGCTAAATTAGACAACGAAAAAATTATAAAAAAACTTTAATATTTGAAACTAAATTCAAATGTCGCGTGATCTAATAGAGTTTTTAAACTATATCTTAAAAAAAAATAAATTAAATCGAACAATAAATATTTAATTTGCAAGGATGTTTCTAGGTATTTGAAATGGGTCACATTGTATATATTTTCCTTTTCAAGAAATCCTATAGGTGCAGTCCGAAAAATATTTTTCGAGATATACCTGTTATTTTTTTTAAAGGAAGCTTCTACAACTTTACGATTCACAAAATAAATAGGATTGTTTTAAAAAATTATACATAGCGTAAAAAAAGTCATTTAAATATTTTAAAATAATTCGGAAGAGTCGTCATTTCTCGAACAAAATTGAATTGAACAAATTCTGGGGTTTTCAATGACTACTTCTTGTTATCTCCGCCCCTGGTTTAATTAGTTAAATCACTAGCCCAAATTTCAAGAATCTATGTAAAATAGTTACAAAAATATTTGAAAAATATAAGTATTTTTTTAATTTAACACCCTGTATTTCAGAAAGCACTTAGGGTAAGTACACCAGTAATTGCCATTGTGTCTGTAGTGCCACTTTATATGTATTTATAATTTCGGAAATAAGTTTTTATTTAAAAATTGCGTATACAGGGTGTTTTCAAAAGAAATAAGTAACACGAATGGTACCAGTGAATCTGCAGCTAAAAATAACACGTTTTGCATAAAAATTACCTTAGTAATAATTATGTTCACCCCTTAGTTTCCAAAAAAATATGGAATATCGGCTGTAATTAGCCCTAGTGTAATAGTACTTAGCTATTTTTTGCTACAACTTTTTTGTTTGACAAAAATTATATATTCAAAAATACTTTTCAGATATCCCGGTTTATTTTAAAACTTTTAACTCTGTCACTTTTTTGCTTTAAAACTAACTGTTTATTAACAAAAAAATTAAATTCACTGTCATTCGCATTAATACTCGCATGATTGTAAAAAAGAAATATTTAAGTAGGCGGCTGCCATGCTAATAGACAGATCTATTGTGACTTTTGCGTGTGCTTCCTTGGATTTACCACTCATTAATTTTATTTCTTTTACTATAACTTGGGGAAGAATTATGGCAAATAATTTTACTAATGATGACTGACAACTGAGATGCTGCAAGCATTTTTTGAACATCGCAGCAAGACGAATGTACCACCAGAGGCATCCAAATTTAATGACAGTAATCAGCATGACAGCCGCCTACTTGAATATTTTCTTACAATTAGTTGCAATTGTGCGAGCTGTAAAGCGAATTAAATTTTTTTGTTGATAAACGGTTAATTTTAAAGTAAAAAAATAAGAGAGGTAAAAGTTTTAAAATAAAACGGGCTATCTGGTACGTATTTTTGAATATACAATTTTTGTCAAACAAAAAAGTTGTAGCAAAAAATAACTTGGGGGATGATTATTTCAACCCCCTCCAAGGAGCAGAAATTTTTGAAAAATTGTTGAGAAGTTGCACATGAATTAGTAGATTTGTGTAAAATTTGACTATTATACCTTTTTGGTTTTCAAATTACACATTAATTCTTTATCTAGGGTATATAACTTATTGTAGGTAACATCAAGCCACAAAAATCATTTGTTTTTTTTTAGGTCCTCCTCGGTAAAGATTATTGGAAAATCTATTATGCTTTTTGTACTGCGTTAAAATTAATTTCGAATTTTTTTTGAATTGTTATTTCATTTTACCAAAAAAAAATTTTTTTTCGTAAAAAAGTAAACCGGTTGTTTTTTTTTTTCAATAACTGCCCATCGTTTACTATTACCGAACTTCTAGCTCGTCCCCTTGCCCTCCCACCCTCAAACAGCGCCCATGAGTGTTACGCATTGGTCAAAGTGATCCGAAATATTAAATTTTTTTTTGAGACCAATATGCTACTAATGCTACTGTAGCGGTACTTATGGTGTGGTCCTCCTTTCCAACAATGATAATTAAGATCGCTTTCCTTACCCAAATAGCATCAACAATAGTCACGATATAACAGTTTTACTGCTCAAAAAGGCGACAGATCGAACGAGGATTAACTTCTAATTATGATGCGAGTAATAATATTATCATATATTTACATTATATGAATTTAAAAAAAAAGTGAAAGAGGAAATTATCGCAGGTCAAAGATATTGCATTGAATTCTGAATAGGTCACGTGTCATTTTTTTAAATCGAATTCATGCATTAGAATGTGCAAAATGCTTATTGGCGTCCGTTTCCGTTTTTTCTTTTCTAATAAAAGCAAAATTGAAGGAATTCGAAAAAAATACTCTAAAATATATTTTAGAATAAGCCTCAATGAACGTAATTTAACAAAATGTATATGTAGTGACTATTTTTTTTATATGCCACAAAATAACTGCATTTTTATCGGAGCAGGCTTGAAGTTAAACATCATATTTAATAGTTGACCTTGACCAATTATGTTAATAATAATTATACCTAATTATCTCTTCCGTTAATGATATCATGTTATTTTTTTACAGCTTAAATTGCCTGTGCCGTTTTTTTGTGCAGGAACTATTTAGTAGGTCAAATAAAAAACGTTCGAGTGTTTATATTTTTTTTCTACTGTATCACAATAACCGCATTCGACCGTAAATAATAAACATATCGTATATACAAATTGGGAACACTGAGCATTTAAAAAAAATTAACATTCGAAATGCGTTTATGCGTTTTCAAATGATTGGTATGTATAATGAACCGTTGCAGTCTGTTTTGAGAACCCTAGAACGGTCTGCCAAACAAATCCTATATTAAAAAAAAAATCCTGAATATTTACACGACGACTTATTGTACGGTGCAACGAACGTAAAGTTTATAGAAAGCCGCGTTAGTAGAGAAACTACACTGAAAAAAATTGTGGAAATTCACTTAGGCTTTTCACATACATTAATACATAAAATGATGTCTAGATTTTTCTTTCTTCAAAAAATACTATGTAATTTGCCTATTTCTTAGTAAAATTACACCTTAGGTGTCGTAAATATGCATACAGGGTGTTCTTCTGTGAAGAAATGAGTGATCGTGCTCCAAGGAATCCAAATATTTTACACTCAATCTATTTTTCCGATGAATGTAAGTTCCAACTGGATGGTCGACTCAACCACTATAATTGCCGCTAATAGAGTGATGAAAATCCACGCATTTTTCATGAAACTCGCACGCAGCATCCGAGGAAATCGAATGTTTGGGCGGGCATACTGGGAGACCTCCTCGTAGGACATTTCTTCCTACCGGGAAATCTGGATGAAAACTTGTATCTGAATGTACTGGAAACGAATATCTACCCGGTGATTGTAGAATGATTGGAAAATGACAACGCTTTGCCAAAAGAGGATGTGTGGTTTCAGCAGGATGGTGCTCCACTACATTATGACATAGCTGTGCGTGATTTTCTTAACCAGAACTTTCCAAATCACTGAATAGGACGCAGAAGTTCAATTGAGTGGCCACTGGCCTCCCAGAGCCTTTAGACTTTTTTTCTACGAACTCACTTGAGGTACTTCGTCGGCGATTTGTTGAAGAATGTCGTCAGATAACGACCGAAATGCTTCGAAGTGGAGCAAGTGATGATTTTATTGTCGTATCCAAACTAAAATTGCAGAATTGAAAAAGCTTTAAAATGAGGTAACACTCAACATTTAAAGTTTAAGGGTATTTATTTACTCCCCTGCCTGAGGGGTAGCTTCCAAGACACCAAATCTTACGCCATCACGTGTCCCCGATGATCTAGTGTGTAATTTTACTTCAATTTTTT